GCCGATTCTTGGTCAGTATTCTTGGATGGTTTCGAGCCGATGTGAGCTTTAAAAAACATGTTCTGTTTGGTGCCAATGCGACAAGCCAAAGGTTGATCTCCATGTGTGTCCAAAGCACATAACGGATTCCAACCACCAATAGTACCACCAATAGGTAAATTTTATAATTTGACAGGCTTTACCCGTTTTACTAGGGTTTTACACTACACTATTCGGGTCAACCATAAAAAAATAAATACATGTCGTGATCTCTCTCCAGTTGTGGTTTTGGTGTCGGACGACGTGGAAAAACCCAGAAGAGCCGGGTGGAAAAACGAGTTGGAACAATGTTCCAATTATGGTGCCAGCTCGAGATCCTTTACATAGCAAGTGGTTGTTTGGGTTGCAGGTCAATTTATCACATCCAGGTGCATGATGCACTTGGATCGAGATAGATCCTTTCCCTCTTCCAGGAGTGATCTCCACCACTGGAGGAAGGAAGGAAGGAAGGAAGGAAGCAAGCAAAGAAGGAAGGAAGGAAGGAAGGAAGGAAGGAAGGATGGAGTTGACAGCTGAGATCAAATCGAACACCCTCACCTAGCAGGTGGGGGAAAAAAGGACCAACCCCCGTGCATGGCGATGAGCGTCTTCCAATTGGAGCTACCCCAAACGCACCGGGACTCCCCCACGTCGACTTGACTTGCGTGCGCAGCTCTCCTGCGGAGGATCGACGTCGTTCGTGTCGGTGGAGTGTCGGAGGTCGAAGCTGAACCTTTTTCTGTGTCTTTCCATGTGTTTTTTTTCTGTTCTTTTTCGGCCTTTCGGGCGTTGTGGTATTTCTCGATATCCACTGTTGAGAGCTCGCTCCACGGCGGCCTTACATCCCCTTGGAAGGACATACGGGCTTTCCCGCAGCCTGTCGGAGCCTCCTGAGTCTCTCTCGTTTTGCACCCCAGTAGCCACCGCTCAGTAGCCACGGAGCGTGGCCAATCAACTTCCAGAAACCACCTCCTCTCCACGATCAAACCGAAGTCACCAGGTCTATCTTGGGTCTATGTTGGGTCTATCCTATTACCAGCACCAGTGGATGATGGTTCCTAAAGTCCCTTGTTCAAGTGATTTGCTGGTCAGGCTGGCTGTTACAGGTTGCAAAATCCCACCGGTCAGCCACCCAATCTCCAGTTGGATCGTTCCCTTCGACCGAACGAACTCGGGGGCGTCGTCTTCCGTGAACCGCGCCGTCGCGTCGTGCGTGCGTGACCTGGACCGGTGAGTGAACAACGGAACGGACCGTGGAGTGAGAGATCGATGGCACCGTCGGTTGAAACAAACCCCAACACACGACCCATAGGACTCGGACTGGCAGGACTGCTCCAGTCGGACTGGCACCCCGAAAGACTTCAAGCACCCCAATGGTTCAGGCTGCCAGTCCCATGGAATGTTTGGGTACCCTCAGACAGTCCAGCCGACCATTTACTATCCGAGTTCAGGAAGTTCCTTTACTTCGGTGTTTCCAAACATGGTCTTTGGACTTCGAGGGTATATGGCTGTCGAGCAAAACCAGGAGACCTTCGTTGACCTATCTGGAACGTCGTTGGCTACATGGGCTCTAGGTTTTGACCCATCCCCATGTGGACCCCCATCTGCGGTTGGGGTGACAGTGCCATCTACTCTGAAGCCACTGGTGCCAGTTTCTTCTCTTCCGGTATCATTTGGGTCCCTTCACGCTGGTGAAGACCTCCGAAAAAAATGAGTGCAGTTGCCGCTGCAGGAAGAACTGTACGCCACACTCCCAGCTGGTTGATCTCCCACTGTTCAGGCTGGGTCGTGAGTCACACTGACTGTATGCTTGTTGGTGCAGCTTCATTACTTCCAGATGCTTGATTGATGAAACCACCCACCCGGACGCTCCAAACAGCCCTTGGTCCCTCAAAACCTAGGGATTTGAGACCCCAGACCCCTCCATATGAGGGTCCATGAGCGTCGCAGTTGGATTGAAGAGCCAGGCACCATCCGGAGCATCCCTTGGCGCTCATCCCGTACGTTGTTGGGGTCGATGCCGTCGATGCGATGTTGTTCGATGCCCTCATCTTTGGTCGTGTATCATCGTGTATCGTGTTCCTGCCTTGGGGGACCAAGCAAGTTGTGGTTTGGTGACATCGCAAGGAGGAAAGACACTATAAAGTACACTATAAGTGGATCATGACTCCCGTGATTGATCCTCTTCGAAAGGTTGGCAACTGCTACAACGACACGGTTCTTCTCATGTGTCATGTGGCAAATTTGTGCCGCCCTGCAGTGGAGGGATCGCCGAATCGATTCCATCCCATCCCCACCTGGCTGTGGCTGCTCCAAAGAGACCCCACACGAATCCATCAAATGGGTTTCAGAAGATCTTCTTCAATCCAACGGCCACGCCCATGCCATAACATCTCACATTGGCCATGGCATGCGGCCAGGAATGCGTGACCCCATCAGCGCTCGACCAAATCACCATTCCCCACTCTCCCTCCTTGGCCACGCTGGTGCCCGGCCGGCGCTTGGCCGCTCGGCGTGGTTCAGGCGAAGCCACCGTTCGGGCCGGTGCGTTGCTGGGTTCGCCTCGGCGCGAGGTGGACGGGGCAGACCCGTGGTGTGACATCGCTCTGACACCGAGGTGTAAGACCTCCAAAATCACCCAAAGACTGAAAAACGATGCCAGCGATCCAAGGTGATCCAATGCCCAACACATCTTCACACTGAACTCGTCGCCTTCAATGGCAAGTGTCTCGATTCGACACACTCAGAGCCTCAAAATCCCTCACACTATCCTCAATGCAAAGTGGAGCATGGATGCCTATAGGCTCTGAGCTCTCTTCTCCTTCCCTGAGCTCATAGGGGTCCCTCTATGACTGTCGCGGCAAGCCTTTAGGTCCGGAAACCCGGTCCCAGCCAGAAATCCGGTGTAAAGGATCTCAATTCACCTCTCAGGATAGGGGGGGTCCTAGGGCTAGTGTAGGCTCTAGGATAGGGGGGGTCTAGGGCTAGCCTATGGAACAACCAGGACTCTTTCTGTCCAGGAAGAGCTTTTCCTGTCTTCTGTGGTGCTTGGGAGAGACTTTGGAAGCAGACTTTCTGACCTCCTCTGTCATCTGGCTCTAGGGCCGCGCCGCTTGGTCTTTTGGCGAACCTCTTGGAGAGATGTCACATGAAGTCACTATTCTTTGGAGGCGAACGCTTGTGATATCTTTAGTGACACATGAACCATGAGTCGAATCCTTTTCCCGGTTTTGCTCAGCCTGGATCTTCAACTCAGCCAGGCTCAACAAGTGCGCCGCATGTCATCAGTGCGTCCCAGAGGCCCAACAAGCGTCGGCCACTTCGCCTGGACATGGGGAGAATTAAGCCAGGTTGAAGCTTCTGCGAATGGCTGTACCAAACTCGGCTTGGTTCTGGATGTTTGAACAAGAATTATGAGGTTGAAGTATGTTGAAGTGTGTTAAAGTAGTTACTGAATCAGGAGTCTGCCAATACCCACTTTCAGAAACTCCAGTGTGGCTTCCATTAGTCTCTATAGGAAAAGCAAGCGCACCACCTCTTTTGGGTCAATGTGATGTCTGACCACGTCCGAGCACATGCACAGCGTCTGACGGTCGACCCCATACTCCGGAGCAGACACTGAGAGTTTGCCGGAACCGCTTCACAGGATCAAAGCCCTGTGTTGGAGCGGACGTCCCCAGCCCACTCCATCTCCACAAAAACCATCTGTTGGATCACCTGCATGGGCTTATCATGCATGGTTCATGGGGAACGCTGTGCCTTCTTCCATGTTCTTTTCTAGACGTTCCTTTTCCTCACCTTTCGACGAAGGTCTGAGCACCCCGACAAGATTCGCTCAGTCCACATGGCCATGACGAATCGGAGAGAGAGATGCGCGGCCGCGACGCAGGTCGAGGCAGTGAATTCTGAGCCAACAAACGTCGACTGGGCCGCCATTTGAAGGAAGCCTGAGTGGGTAGTGTTGCTGCCTCGGGGGGTGTGCTTCTTGCCAACCAAATCATTCCTGGAAGTTCAATAGGTTTACCGACAAGTCACTCAGTCGCTCCACACTTGCAAAGGCCCAAACATGTCTCACCACCAACAAACACTCTAAACCCATATAAGCCTACCTAATTACTTGCTGTCACATCTCGTGCATCGAGATTCTGACCAACTTCGCTCCACAGTAAACCACACTGCTCTGACATGTTGTGAGTCAATGCTATAGCTGCTGGGTATGATGGTCACCGGGATTCGAGGGAATGATCATGGTTGGACCTGTTGGAAACAAAAAAACACACAAAGTCTGAACTGCATCCCTCACTCCTTCTATGCATTTGACAAGTGCAGAAAGCACGACATATAGGAAAAAAACATAGGAACAGCAATGACAGCAACATGGTCTGGGATTTACTGAGGAACCTGGAAAAATATAGAACATATTCACCAGAAGGCGGGGATTTAACCAGTTCGGAAAAGAAACATCACCTGAGCCGCAACACCAGGGTGACATGGTGCTACCTAAACATTTCGGAAACGTGCACTGCGACCAAACCCTTCCTCTCCCTGAGGAAAACGTCACCGCAACGCCGATGGGAAACCATCACATCGACCTCGAGGAAGTAGAAAGTGGAGGCATCGAAGAAACCAGTGAGAGCCATTTGGAAGATCTCAATGTTCTGAGTACTTGGAATTACATTGTTTCATATGCAAACAAGAAGCAACATCTCACAAGTCTCACAAAATGCCCAGGTCTCCCGACAAACTGTCGAAGCAAACAAGTACATGGTCTCAGCAGCTAGATCTTGCAGGCCTTCAAAACCTAACATCAACCGCACACAACATGCTCGACAGTGTTGTTCCGTTCTCCCCCCCCCCAAAAAAAAAAAAAAACCCCCTCCCCCAAACGAGCGTTTCCCCCCCTCCGTTTCACCAACCGCGGTGAAGTGAATTGACACGAAAGCACCTCGACCCCCCCACATCCTCGACACCCGAGGACGTACCTCGGCGCGGCGATGTCTTCGCCCGAGGCTTAAGGCTTTGATCAACTCAAAGGCCTCGGTCTTTCCCACCTGGGCGAGCGGACCCACCGCCATCCCCGCGCCCGCCCGGCGTGTAATAGCGCCGTCCGCACCCGAGCGACCGTGGTGAGCGTTGTTTGGGGGGCGAAGTCCGACGGATGAACTGCGCCGTCCGACGGTGAAATCCTGTCTTCCTAGCGGTTTGCGGTCGGGGTGCCCTGTCTGTCGACCTGTAAGTGTGTGGAGATATCCAGCCGGATGAGCCCGGAAGCAGCGGGTACTTCGACATATGTCACTCGATGTCACGCGCCTGTCCTTTTGTGTACCCCCCCGAAACATGATCCAAAGTATATAAGTCCTGTTTTTCTCTTTAATTCCATTTATATAATTTTGGGATGAACATTTCAACTCTTGATCTACCGAGGTCTCGTTCTTCCACTATCGCCATCACCATCTTCGTCACGCCCTCTATCACCGTCTTCTGGGCATCCCAGGCCGCCGCGGTGGCCTTCGTGTTGCCGTCGTACTTGCTGTCCAGCTCCTGGCCGTTGGCACGCGGAAAGAGCGAACGCGATGAAGGCCGAGCCACAGTACTGACCGACGACCGACCTCTTTGGTAATGATGGACGAAGTGGAGGAGGAACTGAAGATGAAAGGACTTTTGGTACTCCCTGGAAGTCCAAAGACTATACTTTCCCTGAGTAGTAAAGGACATTCCCTTTCAGATCCCATAAAGACCATTCTTTGTATAGTCGTTGACTTGCAGGGTACTGGTAATATGCTAGCGGATGCTACGAACGTAGCTCCTGGCATTACTAGGAGCAAGGTTCGCTACGCACGGTGGAGGCCAGTTACTCTTCAGGTGAAGAACCAACGTCTGGAGGTCTCCCCGGGTGCGCTCGATCGCTCCGAGGTGCAAGAAGAGTGTCGATGATGCCAGGTGATCCGGTGGATGTGGAGTGAATCCAACTGGATCTCCCCCTAATGTAGACTCTTGAGGTACATAAACCCCACCATTTGAAGTGGACAATCCTCTTCATATGGGGGTGAAAGATCATCAAGAGTCTACATTACTAGGGCTCCAGTCGTACCTTCTGAGAAGATGTTGTTTTAAAGGGTGGGTTTCAAGTGGTCCAGTCATATGCCTTCCGGGGAGGTACGACTGGAGTCCTAGGGTCCCCCCCAAAAACGTCAAAACCACCTTTCAAACAATGGCCTGGAGATGTGTCAAGATGATCTAGGAGATCAGAGGGTTTTCCAATTAAAGAAACAGCAATTACCAACAGAAAAACCGAATGCTCACCGAACTGCAACACCGACCCACTTCAGTTTATCTATCTATCTTTATTTCTTTTTTTCTGTTTTTCTTTCTTTCTTCTTTCTTTCTTTCTTTCTTTCGGAGACTTCAGTTTATCTTACAAATAACACCTTCTCCCATGAACAAAATAATGTCAAACATGCTGGCTGGGTGGTAGCACCATGTTTTTTGATTGACCAAGAGGGTGAAAGACTCCCCTGCAGGATGAAGGAAGAAAAAGATCCCCCCCTGCAAGATCCAGTTGGGCACGCAAACAGTGGTGAACAAATTCTTATGCATTGATTCTTCACTCGAAAGGATTGGATAACCTTGTGCAACTTGTAGAAATGGTTCGAAGGTGACGAAGCCTATATATAGTATATGGTCTTGGGACTTAAGCACTGCCTACATTCACTTCGTCATAGTATATGTGAATCTCCACTTCACCCAAATGAAGCAGCACCAAACGACCAGGAGCCCGGGATTGCACACCTTGGTTTGAGAAATGGATCATGATACACCCAGTTTGATGAGTGGACCCTGCACGTGGGTGGGGTTTGAAATGGCACACAAAATGCACCCAAACTCAGTGACAATGGGTTTTGCAACTCCTCATGTCTGCGGCGTCTACACGGTTGATCGTCTGACTCAAACGAGGAATACCAGAATATACCACCCCCCCCCAAGTGTACCAAAATATCGAACGTTTGGCTCACAGTTTGGCTCAAACATCGTCTTGGTTTCCAGCACCCCACACCGTACCCAAGCCCAGACGTTCTATGATCTCATAGAATATTTACATACCAGCACCCTCCAACAGGCTGTCACCCTAGCTGTTTCCAAACATCACTCGACCACACATGGTGAACCACACTCCACTTGTCACCACGACACCTGTGAAGTCCGGTCCAGTCCAACTCTTCCAGTCCGATCGGGGAAGCTGTTGGACGTCGCCGACTAGCCGACGACTCACCGCCGCACGACCCGACCCCCCGGACCCACCGACCTCGCTGAACTTCTGCACCGCCGGGAAGGGTGGCCGCCCGTCGCCCGAGCTGCTGCCGGGTAGGGGCCGTGCGCCGAGCCTGGGAGGATCCGGCAGAAGAGGGGGATCTGCAGTGGGGACTGGCATATGAAATCCATACAAACAAGGGTGGTTGAAGTTGGGGTCAATGTGTGGCATGTATACCGGACATGGAGAGTCTGTATGAAATAGACATAGCAAATTCACAAAGCCTATCTCATGTGTACACAGCCGTTTTGCACCATGTGGGGGTGTGCAAGTCCCATCTCCTAACCTAGTAGATTTACATGAACACCGCATGAAAAAATGACCCATATATGTAACTATTCCAGTGCCGATGGGAGGTTCTGCCAAGGGTGCTCCGCCAGGGAGTCCCCCGGTTCGCGGGGTTCCTGGGGAGATTCAGGGTTCGCTGGGCTCGCAACTTAGTCTCCAGTTTCGGTGTTCTTCCCAAATACTGTATATTAGATATCAATCTTTTTCTGGAAACACTAAGACTAGAAAATGGTCGGGAACTTTCTGTAGCCAACAGCTCCCTGTTTCAAGGGGAATGGGGTATATGATATCTTCCAAACAGCTCCGCAGCCGTCGCTTTCTCTCAACCAATGGGATTTGAACTCGGATCTCCAAAAAAAAGGTACTAAATAAGAGAGAACTCCGGATGAATTACTTAAACGTATACAACCAAGCCATTGTCGATACTTGTCTTGCACAGTATCATCTGGAACCACTGCCATTCTTATACCAAGATATGCTATGCTCTGAATTCAGAGTAACGAGGGCATCGCTACCAAGCGCCTGGAACGATCTTCGAACGTGCCTCACATGAGTGTGAGTCGTACGTGTAACTAACAGTACTGTCTAGTCTACACAAAAGACTGAGGTGCGGATGATACATATGGGTGTTGATTTAAACTCCTTTATCTGGGATCCGTCATTCTTAGCAAAAAATATTTTAGCGAAGCTGTCGCCTTCAGTATGTTGTATTTTTGTTTGCCATCTATATTGTATGATGGATATCATGTTTCTTGTCAATGGCTTCTTCTGCACAGGCAGATACGAAAAAAAATCACTGTTTGTCAGCAAGTGTCTTCTACTTGGTCCGGCGTGTGTAGATGGCCGTGGTGTTTTGTGGGCATTTGCATGAGTTGCAGAACGTATTTTTATTGAAATTCCATTGGGGCTAGGGTTTGTGGATATATCGCAAGTATGAAGTCCAGTTATTTTGGTTTGGAAAAGCTACTTTGCGCCCGTTTGTCCGCGCCCCGCGCCCGCCACACCCATTGGTACAGCAGTGCTTCGATTTTTGGATTCAAAACACTTCTTCCATCCTTCTTCACTTTTCTGTTGAGGCTGGAGGGGATATATTGCTTGAGCGCAAGCCACCATTGATCCATGCATTGAGTTCCTCCAAGGTTCGGTAATCCTGGAGATGTGCGATCCACAGGTTTTGCAAACTCCATATTTTGGTGACACACTTGCCGATGTTGAAGACCAAGACGCTTGCTTTCTGCTGACCAAGCTCGATTGCCATCGAAGTGACAGCAGCTTTTGCCTTTGCGTCGATCGACTTTATTCAGAAGCCCGCTGCTTTGTACTTGCTTTTTGGACTTTGTAGGAGGCCTTGCACCTGGTTTCGTCACCCTGCAATCAGGGCCCCACACGATGGGGGCGCGTGCTCTTTCCACAGCGCCCAAAACCATGACATGCACAGGATACGCCTTCGGCAAGTCCTTTGGCTTCACATCCGTTTCCACGTAGAAAAGACCCCTTCAAACAATCTTTTTGTGGCACATATATGAGTGCAACAAAGCATGCATGCCAAAAACGTTACAAATCAAATCAAATGAGCAAAGAATCTCCGACGTCGGCCCTGCGAGAACACTGTAGATACTGGTTCCATGGCTTGCCAGCGAAGTCCGCGTAGACAACGACGCGACAGAACGAAGGCAGCGGCCGATAACACGGGAAGAGAAGACGATCGCTCGCGCAAACACCGTGAACAGATTGACGACCAAACCGACCACAAAAACGGAATACAGGAGGGTAAGTCTGTAAAACGAAGAGGCCAACGATCTTGTAATAAAACTGTTTCCTGCACAACCCCCCCCAAGGGAATCAACGGGGGAAGTCAAGACCTCTACTAAAGAATCCAAATACCAAAGGTCCACCGAAGAAAAGGACCCAACACTACGTGATTCTTAAACGAAAAAAAGAACCCGACAAACGAATGAGCAACACCAACACCAGAGCAAACACGACCCGGTCGCCATCAGACACTCGAACCAAAACTGCAACATACTTATGCGTGCCACATACACACAAACTGTCACCCCATGCACACATGTGAAGGTAAAAAAAGTAACAGCGCCACGTCAACAAGCCTGTCACATACACATACGTCATTACCGCCCCCCCCCCCCCCCCCACCACAGCCCCCCCATGAACGCATGTGAAAGCACGCATGTGAACGCATGTGAAATTAAAAAACGCCTGAAGCGCACGGCCCCTTACAGGCGCCGATACCAAAAACATGCACAATACCACAGGAAAACGCTCCTTGCCAACTCAATGCTCTCCCCAGTGGCCCCGCGGACACACAAAAGTGCTGTAAATACCACACGGATTTCGCAAAAAAGTGCTCAAAATGCCCCGGCCGTCTACGCCCGCCCAGCCTTCTACTTAACAGTTGACACCCTGTACGTTTCTTTTGTTTCTCCTGGGTGCCTGCAAGAACCAAAAATTGCAAGAATCACTGTGGCAGCCGGTCGCTCAGACTTACTCATAATGGGCTAGGAGTCAGATGTGGCAGGGCGAACTTTCGCCAATCTTGAGCTGAACTTTCGCCAAACTTTCGCCTTTTGCGGGGTAAAGTTTTGTGGCAGAACCGTGCCCCCAAAGCAGCAGCAGGAGTAGTAGTAGCAGCAGCAGTAGTTGTAGTTGTAGTAGCAGCAGCAGTAGCAGCAGCAGCAGCAGAAAGAACATCTTTAGCCATATCTTTCGCGCAAAACTAAAAGGACCGGATAACCCGCATGTTAAGCTTGTAGGGACTATCAACGAGAAGTAGAGACTGATAAGGAAAGAGGACGGAAAGATACTGAACGATAAAAGTGAATGAGATGAGTGGTGTGTGGTGAGCGGTGTGTGATGAGTGGTGTGAAATGAGTGGTGTGAGATGAGTGGTGAGAGGCGGTGTGTGATGAGCGGTGTTGAGTTGTGTAAGACGAGTGGTGTAAAATGAACGTGACGTGAGATGAGTGGTGTGTGATGAGTGGTGTGACATGAGCGGTGTAGATGAGTGGTGTAAAATGAACGTGGTGTGAGATGAGTGGTGTGTGATGAGTTGTGAGAGGCGGTGTGTGATGAGTGGTGTTGAGTTGTGTCAGGTGAGTGGTGTAAAAATAACGTGGTGTGAGATGAGTGGTGTAAGACCCGGTCCTCCTGAAGGCTCTGTGTACTGCGCCTGCCACGAAATCTGCACTCCAGGTTCACCAAGTACTGTGCCACGAAATCTACACGACAGGCAGCCGGGGGGCCAGCGGAACCCGTTTGTCGCTTCTGCAGTAGTACCTTCACTTTACCACCCATGCCTGGCAGCAGACGGAGCTCACATCCAGCCTCGAGACACCATGCTTCACAGTCACTCGAAGAGATGTCTCCAAAAAAGCTCTTCCGCGGCCGCATCTTTCTCTGGCTCTTTGGCCATAAACATCAAGGTGAAGCTCTCGCCGTCTTGCCGTTGATGCAAAAGGTCATTGTGAGCCAATGCTAGGGCCCAATGCGACTGGGTGGAGGCCAAAAAGATTGGATTCAAGGTCCACGTTACATGAGGTTGGGGGCCTATCCGCAAACCTATAGAGTAGAGTTTTAGCGGTGATCCGTGCCCCTGCTCCAAACCGAAAGGTTCCCTGTGAACACCCGCAAGGTCCATCAGAGGTGGTTCGGACCCTCGTGCATTCATCTCTACATCAGTCTGACTGAACTTGATGGCAGCTCTTTTGGCCACGCTGCATGCAAACTTGCGGTCGCGGTCGCCAAACTGCATCGCCAGTGAAGGTCCACTAGCTAACGTCACGGTGAATGGGGGGCTTTGGAGCTTCAGTCCGCAAGAGCGAACGTGGTTGGTTCTGCTGGTTCTTCTGCCACCAAGATGAATTCACCTTTCTGTTCCGCCATCGGCCAGGGGTGGTCAAAGAGATCCATGTCATTTGGCAAGTGCTGGACGTACATACTGACTGGCTCCATGAAATCTGCTTGGGCGCGGAATATCGATACTTGAACCCCTATGACCTGCGATATACGACATGTCGGAAAAAAGATCAAAGCCACCAACACATATCAATGTATGCAACTATGTTGATTCTTCTAACGCAAAAGCCGCGGTGGATGTGCAAAAGTCACACAAGTCTTGGTCGTTGTCTTTAAACACCCGACCACGGCGCACGTAGAAAATCCTACGCTGTCAATGCACTGGGACCTGTAGGGTGCGGTAGCGAGCTTACCCATCAAGGTCTTTGGAGGCCATCGCTATTCGGTTGGAGGCCATTACTAGTAGCTAGAAGCTACTACGGTAGTGACAGGGGTAGCTAGCAGCTAGAAGCTACTAGGGTCTAAACTCCCGCAGAGTGAACTACCTCGAGCTTCCCTGCGAGAAGATGGTGCGGTGGGCCGTTTCCAGCGGCAAGGTGTTGGAAGCTGCAACCGCGCGGCGCTTGGAGGGTTGATGTGGCTTGGAAGAAGGAGACCCGCCCCTGAGTTCGACCTCTGGGAATCTCAAAAAGATTCCAAATCAGACTAAATCAGATTGGTTAGGAGGTCTCCCTGTTTTAGAATCCAAAACGCATGCAAATCTCAATTACCAGGAGTCACAGAGACAAGGGCCATCACCTCCACGGTGACAAAGGGACGAGCAGCACCGAGGTGGGACTCGTGGAAAATGGGCAAAAAAGGGGATGGGTCGTGACCCAAGAACCAAGGGGTGTTTGGGAGAGTTGCACCAGCGCCGGATCTTGTTGCACCAGTCGTGTGACCAAGGTATCCTGTACGATCGGGTCACCACAGCCCAGGAGGCACCCACATTCTTGCCGAGTGCAAGACGATGGGAGCAGGTCATGCTCGGAGAACGGGCACTCTTCACGGAGGGAGAATCAATTTGTCATGAACATCCGTGGGGCCCCCTAAAGGCAAGTTCGGCTTACATCCAGGAAGCCATGCCAGGCACTGTGCCCGCGGGGCCACTGTAAAGTCCCTCTGGAAGGAAAGACCCAAACGAAAGACAGCTCTATTCCGAATATTCCCCCAAAGCCCCAGCTTTTCTCCTTTGTGCAGTACTGTTCTTTCATTATCATTGTTCTGCCTTTATTTATCTATGTTATTCTCGATGGTTCAACCACTTTGCACGTCCCTCACAGTGAATTAACATGGATCAATGTGATCGGCTCTCCTCGCCTACCACCGTGCTGGGGGAGAGCACCGCAAAAGCGCGAGCCTCGGAGCGCGCCGAGTAGCGGAGTCTGCGGAGCGACGAATTCGATCGATTTCTTCACCACCACATCCACCACATCCACTTTAAAAACCTGCCATAGATCAACCAGCCATAGATCCATAGTGGCTGTGTTCTTCACATCACTTGGGGATGTGTTCTTCACTCCCCGCCATATGACCCTTCACCTGAAAACCCAGCCCGCCCCCCCTCCCGCCCTGGGTGCTTTTGTTTTTCAGGATCCCTGTCTAAGACATGGCACGGGGTGTGCCGTGCGTGTGGAACCCTCTGAAACCACTGGTGCCAACCTTCCAGGTAGGTCACGGTGGGTTCGTTTGAAGTGGGAACCTGCAAATCCCTGGTCACACCGTCTTTGAAGCTCCGCGTTCGACCGTCCGACCGGACGTTTTTCGACCGTTCCTTCTCTGATCGAACGAGCGGAGTCACGTTCGACGGGGTGAAGTGGCTCGTCCCATCGTCCGGCGGCTGTGGATGTGACGTTCGGGCACCCCGTAACCGGCACCCTCCATGGACCGCACCCTGTCGAACGTGACTCACATTTGTGACTGCTGGTTATGTAAGTGTTCCGTGCTTCTTTCGGGGTCAAGTTTAATTTGTGGCTTCCAAGCTGGATGTGCCCCCCTTCGACGGATGGCGAGAGATGGCTCCGAGAAGGGGCCAATCAATACCAACGAAACAATGGCTGAATCGGTTCCCTTCGGTTCCCATTCCCTTCGGCTGGGAGCCCCAAACCAAGCCCTCTTCAGTGGTCGTCCCTTGACAAAGGTAGGCCATCAACTGCCTGCGCAGCAGCTGCGGCCAGAACTGCCGGGCAGGTGCTGCGCGTGCACCAGCGAGCAGGTGTGGTGACTCTGAGCTGAAAAACTTCTAAGAGTGAATCCACCCAGACGCTCCATTCGCCCAACTGACCGGGGTCTCCATAGGTTCGGGTCCAGGGTCGCGTCTGGGTATGTCAGAATCCAGGAGGGTTTCTCGACCTGGGTCTTGGTCCGCCCACGTGAGCCAAAGGGAGCGGTTCTGAACCCACAAGGATAGCTGTATAAAGAAATATCAACTATCTCCAGAAAACAGGTAGAATTGATATGGACGCAATCTTGTCTTCTCATCAACTTAGATGTTGTGGGGGCAGAACAGATTCTTCGCCTGCCTAGCCTTTATTGAACAAACCGCCGTCCAGGAACTGCTTTCCCTGGACAAAATCCAACCAACATGCAAGGATCCCAAAAGTTGTTTGTTTGCCTCAAACACATTTGGTTCGCAGACCGCCCAACGAGAAGAACCTAGAGCCCATAATGGTCTTTAAAACGGTGCCTTTTGGGAGGACCTTTTTTTAGGTCACCCCGAGAAGGGCTTAGCCATGATAAACCAACGCTTGAGCTGCTTCAACGTTCGGCATCCAGTCACCCCTCCCTCTCCCTTCAACGTTCGGAACAGGGTCTTCAACACCTCAATTCCGCCACCGTTTCGAAGAAACAACGAAAAAAAAGCCGTCGTTTCAGAGAATCGATGGCTCTGCGCCCCAGTCGATGTCTCTTAGAAACAACGTGCCCATCTTCGATACCACGAACGCCCACCTTCGTCCCGCATCGCGAGACCGCGAGAGACCCTTCCGCCCGCCGTCGGCAACGCCGTTTCTGGCGCCTCACAGAGATGTGGTCCTCTGGCAGATCCACCGGCGCGGGCTCCTGACGGGCGGTGCGAGGGACGCGCAGTGCGAGGTTTTTGGGTGTTCGGTGGAGATCCAGCATCATCTGCCCCGGCCATGCCGTTCTCCATTCAACTATCCCAAATGGGTGGTATTGGGATGGTATTGGTATTATCACATCCATAGGGTCTACTGTATATATCCAGTACCAGTGGATATTGATGGTTAGGTTGGGGGCCTTGTTCAAGAATAGTGATCATTGTTTACTGACTGTATGTACTGGTCCCAGTGGATCCCAGTTACCACTAATATGAGGAACCAGGGTTGGTGGTCCGTCGGTCTATGGTTTGGTCGTCGAAGAACTGGAACCACTGGGACGTCCCAGCGACATGGTGGGAGGTGCCTGGATGCTGTGCGGGTCTTATCACAATCCACTTTCTGGGCATCCATGGGAGATAGCTCCCCTGATCAGAATGCCGGCGAAGGGGAACCATCATTTTTCGCCGGAGGCGATCCGCTAAGACACTCCACCAATTCAGTTCGAAGTGTGCCCTGACTAGATCAAAGCCATGTTAACATGGACTCTGCTTTCTGCCAGGACCTATAGGGGATTGGTGAGTAGCCACGAACTACGGTTACCCACGCTCGCGGGTGTGCTTCATGGACACATCGGGACAGCTCAAAGATAAATCAAGGCAATCAAATTTCTTCGACACCAACCTTCCACTATGTATCACACGCTACGTAGCATCTTAGCCTCTCGTAAGATGAAACACATCGCAACGGAAAAAGCCGGTGATGGCACTTTTGAGATCTGGCACTCACACCGGACACCCTCCAACCAATCGAAACCTTCGGTGCCCTTTTTTCGGGCTGCGTTCCAAGATGATTGATTGAACATGGTTGACCTGGCTTTGTAGCAAAAGAAGCCTCGTTCCGTAATGAACACAACCATGGTTGTTTTCTAGACGCTCCGCGTTCACGACGCCCAACTGGTCCCGAACCAAACGTATTCAGGATTGGTTTCGAAACCCCAGACCCCAAAGGATTCCGGGCCGAACGGGTCGCGTCTGGGGTGGGTCCGGACCTTGCACCCACCAAGCAGGGCCTTTGGACCCAAAGGACGAGCCTTTTGGGTGGGACTCACTCTGACGTCCGGAGAGACCCGATGACCTGTGAGAGACCCGATGTCCTCCATGTCTGTCCGCGTTCACAACCCGGTCCCTGCTGTTCACCGGTTCCGACTTCATGTGTTGCCCCGACTCTGCGGGGCCCGACCTCTCCAAAGGCAGTACTCACATGCTTCATGCTTCATGCCTGTCATTTGCTTCGGTTTTACCACGGGTTTCAGAGTTATTCGATCACACTCCCATCACTCCCAAGATGTCCAAAGGACTCCCACCCACATGCAAGGTCCCTACACACCACCAGACACTTGGGGTCACGTTCACTGTAGAAACCACGGGTGCCATCCATACCGGACCACGTGGACCACGGCGACCACGGCGACCGCGGTCCTCCGGGCGTGGCTTCTCCGGCCGCCCGGTGGACCAGGTGCTTTGTCCACCTGGCGAGGTTCGAGGGTGATGCTGGGCAAGCTCGCTCGCCGTCGTTGGTTTTGGGGACAGACCGAAATACCCGACTTAACGCGGGTGGTGGTATGTCACTATGTCACTGTCTATGATGTATTAATGAGTCACGGATCTAAACGACTTCTTTTTGAGCAACATTGCAAAGAATGCTCATCAAACATCTACGTCTCCGCGGCGGCGAATCCACCCACCAGATGGATTCGCGACCAGCGACCATGCGACCGGCACTCGGTCACGTAGGTACACTCCCACTCAGGTTCCATGCACGTGCAGTTCACCACCTGTTCGGTATGAGCATTTTTGGATCGTCCAGGGGCCCATGCCATGCACTTCCCATGTCGAGTCAGTCTGTAGCCAAACGCTCGGTGAAAACAGCCCAACTGGTCCCGAACCAAACGTTATTCGACATCGCTTCGACCTCAAATCATCTCAAACTCCTCCATCTCCGTCAGGATTCGGGGCCGAACGGGTCGCGTCTGGGGGAAGTACAAAATCATCTAAAAACATGTCTCGAGTCGGTCTCACATGGCCGTTCTTTCGGCCTTTCCAAGCCGAGAAGAACAAGCACCTCCGCAGCCCCAACGGACAATGACACTCCCTGGAATCCATCATGGAAGTAGAACACCACCAGTCTGTATATATAATTATAGGATGTCATGATCATCCGAAAATCGAGCCGAACATCGGGGTCCATGCCATCCACGTAACCATGAAACATGGCCAGGGACAGAGATATGGACCCATCAGAATCATCTTTTGGATGGGTCATAAATGGGGTACATATATGTATAACTATTTCACACATGCCCGGAACCCCAAACAACCAGAAAGAAATTGATGTTTCCCCAAACAACCATTTCCTATGTAAAGGATTTCAATTGCCATATTGGAACAACCATGTGTTTCTGGTTGTTTGGGGTTCCAGGTGGATGGTGTGGGATTCGTCTTATGTGGATCTCGCTGAACTGGGCAACCACTATATCCCCCCACCCATCGCCGCGAAGGAAAGGCCACACCCCTTTTCCTCTGCGCGAAGCAACTACGGAGTCAACTTCGGTGATGCCACTGAAACGGGTCATTTTTGAGGAGCAACCATTAAATCATATGAAATCATATAGATCAAACATAATGCACGGACTAGGAGCCAAAAAGACATTGGAGTACTCAATCATGGTCTTCAATCTTGAGAGAAAAACCTCCTATCAACAGAAAGAAACATGAATCAAATAAGGATTGCTCTACGCCACTCAATTGTTGGGGTTGGATGCTACTCAACCTCTTAAAGCTTTTGATGTTCCACTCCTCTCGGTGTACTCGCGCTTTGTTGATACTGTCCCCTCACCGGACGGGGGGGGGAGAGGGCGGTGAACGTGCGTGGGTTCGAAGGCGACGAGGTCCCTCTTCCAGGGTGGCCTGCCATGTTGGGGTGGCTGATGACATGGAACAAGATATGGCACCGGTTCATCCTTCCTTCTCATTCACCAGACATTCCAATGTTCATCATTCATGTCCAGAACCCAGAATGTCCAAACACCACCGGCTGTGTACACCCCAACTGTTGGGTTCCCGGAGTTGGTCCTCTGTTGGAACAGAAAAAGACACCCCGGCAATCGAACGGCCCGGTCCACATCGCGTGGGGTCGCGGGTCGCTGCTACATGCAGAAGTGAAGGCCCCGATCTACTGGAAGTGCCCAAGGAAGTGGAGGGAACTTAGCCTTAGCTCAAGAATTCAAGGTGATATGATGTGACTGGTGATCCAGCTGTATCTTTTTTTAACGATGTCTTCTTTTTTTTTCTGGGGACACTGAATGAATGTCTCCCAACCATGTTTACCCCCCAAATCGGAGGCAGCCAGGTTTCGAGAATCCGCTGAATTCGAAGGATTCACCCAGGTTTCGAGAAGTACCTCGAGAGGAAGAATGTTGATCAAAGATACTCCGTGTTTGGGTCTAAGCCTAAGATGTAGTCTGTTTGGTGGTTGAAAAGGAAGACAAAACAACACATATAAAGAGTCACTAGGTTCAATCATCCCAAGTAAAGGTCGAACATCAATACATCTGAAATCACCACCCTGAAGGTCAAGGGGAAAGTGTGAAAGTTCTTTTTCCAGGCTCGAGCTACCAACCGTAGATGCCTTGGTGGTACCAAATACTTGTTTTTGCATAAAACCCCGACTGCTTCGCCATGGTTTTCTCCGCAGGAATTCCATCGTACCGTACATGGTACATGTTTGATTTGACCCTTCAGAATCACATCGCTCGAAGAAAACTAACTTCTCTCAGCCAGACTCGCCATTGAAGGACTAAGACCTGGGCGAAAGGACGCGCCAGGTCGAGGGAGTCTGGGCGGGTGTGGAAGTGAAGTGGACGGCATGGACGGCAGTGGGAGAATCTACAGCAAATCGGTCGAGACCCAAGTGTTTGGGTCGAGGGTCCCCAAGCGAGTGCAACACAGAAGCCCTTAACATCACCATCCATGCTAGTCGTCAAGCTCAAGTCTCAAGTAGATCGAAGAGGGATCATGTGAAACAGGGTGAAAACACCACTGACAAACCCTCCACTTGGCGTTGGAGCATGTTGGATCCCCTGATGTCAATCCATTAAAGTCGGAACAGAATTGCTCAGATAGTAGTCCTCCTACATGGATGGTGACGTTAAAGACTTCTGTGTTGCACTCGACTTGAGTTTGACAAACAACATGGCAAACCCAAAAGTGTGTCTTGGTTCCTGAAGAGCCACCGTTTCACCTGTCTACGTAGGCCGCAATAGTCTTGCAAGAGCTTTGTGTTCTCAAACACTGCGTGGATTTGAAGGCGAAGAACTGTTTGGGTGTCATCACCCAAACTATCAATGACAATCTGTGGAACATCGTGGAACAGTTACCTACATTGGGGTCCAACATGGGGTCAATGTAAGTAACTATTCCATACATGCGGCCACAAACGAGCCCATTCGAAGCACATACCACATTCGTGCTTGACCGGCCCATGAGTCAGTCTGTACCCAAACGCTCCGCGTTCACGACGCCCAACTGGTCACGAACCAAACGGCATTGCTTCGACCCCAGACCCTCTGAACCCGAGGATTCGAGGCCGACCGGGTCGTTTTTGAGTAGTAGTTCTTCCTTTTTCCCGCAGGTGAAGGGATTCCAATCCATTGACCACACCGTTTCGGCGAAACTTGCACCACCGGACGTGTGGGGACAAGTGATCTTCTACCTCTGCAAGACCAAAAGAGGATGAACTGCCTTAACTTTATACATTTCTGACATCCTTATGGCGTCCTTACCACATGTTTGGGCCGGCCTGGGGCCTCCATCCCTCAACTCACTGGAAAAAGCTCAATGTCTGAAGGACGATTCCACCTACCTTGGGACTTTGGGAAAACGGAAGAAGCCTTTTCGGCCAACATGGACAAAGCTTTGATGCGGTTCTTGGGTGTTTGTTGAGTTGCTTGTCGAGTTGTTTGTTTTTTTTCGTTGTTTGTCGACTTGTTCTTTTTTGTGTTGTTTGTCGATGAGTGTGCGAACCCAACGAGGCAAGCCCAGGGCAAGGGAGGCGTAGTTCGGTGTAGTTCTTCTCACCAAAAAAAGAATAGATATACCCTAGAAGTCCAAAGACTATACTTTCCCTGAGTAGTAAAGGACATTCCCTTTCCGATCCCATAAAGACCATTCTTTGTATAGTCGTTGACTTGCAGGGTGTATATCTACACCGAACTACACCGGTACTACACCGGAACTACAATCAGTGTTCACCATCATGTACAATGAACTACACCGAACTACCAAGATCAATCTGAGATCCTCACAACCGGCCCAGTTCGGTGTAGATATCATGTACAGCAATTCATGTAAAATCTTGATGATATTTCAGTCCCCCATATGAAAAGGTTTTGCAATCCACATGGAAGGGACTGTATCATATGTCTACTTACTTTCATACATAGAACCGGAATGACCTCCAACTTTTCCCACCTACCACCCAAAAGGTTGTCAAACTTCCTAGCAAAACAGGGGTCAAATAGGTTCGAACTAGCCTGTGAGTCCATGACCCCTCTCAAAGTTGTCTTTAGGGAATCCCACTCAAGGAATTAATTTCCTTTACTTCGGAGGTCGAACTTGACTTCTGGATATAATGAAATTGTGCTATATTTTACTATACTGTTTATGTATATATCTTGAGATATCTTGAGTATATCCCATTACCAGTAACAGTGGATGATGATATGGTTAGTTGGTAAGGACCTTTCTGAAAAAAATAGCTATAATTTTATCAACCCCACACCTCCAAGTACCTCCTCAGGTTCGGTTATAAAATTCTTTCATATGGTAAGGCCAGAATCCTTGATCAAAGAAAGTCAAATGCAAGAGTCAAAGTCAAAAAAACAAGTTTAATTGAAAAGTAAAAAGTAAACAAAAAAAGGCGAAAACAAGTCAACAAAAAGTCAACCATAGACCACAGCTCGAAAAAGTAAACAAAAAAGTCCAAAAAAAACACACAAAAACAAGTCGAAAAAAACATGTCCAAAACATTTAAAAAGTCAAAATCAAAAAACAACTCAAAAAAAGTTTTTATATTTTATATAAGAAAAACTAAAAAATGTCAAACACTCGAACAAGTCAAATAAAAAAGTCAAATACATAAATACAGTTCACAAAAAAAAAGTCGGAAAAAGTAACAAAACACAACATCGAAAAACAGTCACAAAAAAATCG